TGCCTCACATGTGCTCAGCTTCCAGGCGATGACTCGCCCCTCGTTGTCACCCGACCACATTGTGACACCGACGCGACATAGAGCCGAGACACCCGCACGACCATGAAAGTGACCGGTGAGCTGCGTCTCACCACATCCCGCATCCCATACACGTACGGTGCAGTCATCAGAACCGCTCACGACGGCACTCCCCTCCGCGTACAGACAACGAACGTAGTTGGTATGCCCGTGTAACATTCGAACATGTCGCCCGTCTCTCACATCCCACTGCGCAATTTTAAAGTCACTGCCCCCAGAGTACACGTAGCCACCAAACTCGGCAAGGCAATATACTCCACCAGCATGTTTATTCAGCTGCCGCACCATGGCAAAGGACTGAGCGTTGTACACCTCAACACTGCCGTTCGAAAGGCCCATCCAAACCTGAGGATCCTTGCCCTGTGTTCCTACCGCAAGCAATGTCCAAATACGTGTCACACACGTTGGCCGTGGTACACTCGCAAAACAGTGAACGAGCTTGGCGGTGCGACTATCACGAACCTCTACCCCACCGTCTGCCATAGCAATCCAGACGTTATCCGGGGTTACTGTCATTGCTACCACTGCTGATGGAAGGGAAAATTCCTTCCCTGTGGTACAGCTGTTGTCGTGTAATGCGATGCTGCTCGTAACATCGTTACACTAACTCACTGCCTCTTATGCCACTTGTTGCGCAGCCTTTGCTTCGTGAACAGAAAACAAGAACAAAGAACCTGGTTACGCCAAGGGCGGACACCACGCAGAGCAGTGAAGGGCGGGCAAAGAATTCCCCAAAGAATAAATCAACCAACCAACCAAACAAACAAACAAATGGAAACCAACCCCCACCCCACCCCTACACAAAAATAAAAATGAAAGGAACACGAGAAAAAGAAAATGACTCAACTGCCTCATTTCCTTTTTACTACTCGCCGGGTACCTCCTCCTCGCATTCACAGCTCCCTCCAACTTCTTCCCACCGCCTTTCTCTGAGTCAGCTAAACTCGTCGCGGCGGCTGAGGGTTCATTCCACTCCCTTGTGGCGCGCGGCCTACTTCCAAAGACGTTGCGTACGCGTCATCCCACCGCGGATCATCGAGCGTAACACACTCACTTCCCACCACCACCAGGACACGCACTGGGTCAACCACGATGAGCCCAACGCGCCCGCCATGACATAGCTCTGGGGCAATGAAGTAACGTGTTTGCAACAATGGCACCAGCCTAGCAGAGTCGTGTGTCCCGGTCCAAGAAGGGTCGCCAAAAATGACAAAGTCATCAAGGATTTTGCGCATACGCAGAGTAGAACTAAATATTTGTTCTGCCTCGTAGCGGCAAATGGCAACCAATGTCCCACTAAAGCGGCGCAACATGAGGTGAGAAGAGGTGTTTAGCCCATTTTCCAAAGAGCGGTGTGTCGGACGACGTTTGGCACGGCGCAACGTCTGTCGTAGGGCGAAAAGCAACAGTTCATCTTCGTCAGCTGTACAGTCTTGAACAACAGTTAAGGACCAACTAAAGTCTCCGTGATTGATGTTGTCGCAAAGGGTCAGGTACTCACTTGGAGAGTAGATTGAAGCTTTGGGGTGGCTCATCTTGTGGTTACATCGGTGAACGTCTACAACAGTACTGTTGCATGTAGAGTCACGCGCCCTCCGCGGCGCCGGACGCAGGACGCGAATTCGCGACAGCGGCAACACCTCTTCATCGCTCAAGAAATCGTGGTCATTATCTCCAGCGTCGTTATCACCCTCGGTAAAAAGAAGCGGACAGGAAAAAATGCTGCTAGACCTGGCAGGCCCTTCTTGTTCGCGGAAGTGCCACTCCCTCCGTGCGTCCATGGCGTACAGCTTGTGTTCGAACTTCATACGCTCATACGCCGTGGAGGCCGACGAAGTTAAAAACTCTACACTCAGCAATTGCCCGTCACCACGTAAGTTCGTCATGTCCTGTCGAAAGTGCTCAAGTTGAGCACACCAAATGTTATCCCGCCTATGCAACTCCACCCAGAGGAAACGACAGGTGCTGCTCAGTAATTGAACCTCACGAAAGTTCAG